GCATCAGGGTCTTTTCCAAAGAGTCCTCTCTTCGCATTAGGTGACCAAAGTATCTGAGCTTGAGCTTCATTATAGTCCCAGTTTAAGAACGAGTTCCGTTCCCAAGGTCTGTCCTTAAGTCGAATTTGTGCCTAAGCCGAAACAGTATTATTGTATAATACTGTATAAGTAGTGTTGTGTAATTAACATGAACCATTCTGTATTTAACTTGAATCATTGTGTACTCAAATTTTGCTAAAATAGGCTCCGTTCTTACCTATGGGTCATCCTTACTCTGGATGTTCTTAACCCGGGGACTCCCTGTATCCAAATCTGAAAGACGATTCTCTTTAAGAAGGGCACAGAGAATCCAGTTCTTATCCAGCTATCAATCCACACAATAGATATGTAATTCAAAAGAAAATGGACATCTAAAAATATTACATTTGCCTCAAAGTCAAATTAATATATGCAATTATTTCTTCCTAGAATTTAATAATTTTAGGACACTGCAAAAACATGTTTGAATGAAAGATACTCTGATTTAATCTCCAACAATAGGTTAATTTAGCCATTTGTTTTTTATACACATGTAGTAGAGTCTAGTAAGTCCAAGATATTAATTTTTATTGATTAAAATCAAGGTTTAATATCTGTTGAAATATTGGAGTCCTTTGTTAAAACAGCTTCCCTTTGTTTAGACAAAATGGGGATCTCTAATTCTTTATTCCACCTAGCATACTTGATATTGATATTTATTGTGATTGATACATATTTGCATGTCAAATTGATTTACTGAGAAATATTTATAAAAATTAATCACAAGATTTTTAGTTTCATAAAATTTGATAATCACTTGTAATAGTTTAGGTATGTATCAGTAGATATGTATCAGTAGATATGTATCAGTAGATATGTATCAGTAGATTGATAAAAATGCATCACATTTAGTAAATGATCTAAAGTAAAAAAACAAAAAAACTACCAACATTCCTCCAGATTGTTCATATAAGATGCTTTTAATCCATTTTAAAGTCTGTGTTACCTCATAATATTAATTTGGTATAAGAAAATGTATCAAAGCGGGATTTTCCAGAAATGGTGTAATGAAATCTTCAGATTGATTTACTTGTTACATGAATTATGTGTAGTCTATTTTATTTTGAACTGCAACAGTTCAAATAACTAAAGGTGTTATGTATGAATATTCCAAGAAGGTCACAGAATGAGAATTTATACTAACTAAAGATGTCCAAAATTTTGTTCTAATCAAAATATACTCATAAGATTGTAACTCAAGATTTGGAAAATGAAAACTCCTTTTTCCTTAACCTTAATATATCTGTGGATCTAAGTTTTGAAAAGTGATAATAAAATATTGATGCAACTCCTGTTCACCTAGCTGTTCACCTCAGTAGGATCAATAGCCATCATGAGTAAATGGGAAATATATAAACAACTCTTTTTTTTTCTATAACCCTAGAAAGAGTCCTGTTAATGCACAGAAAATTGCATTCATGGCCAGTTGACCATCCAAATGAAATTGTTATATGATTGGAAATGCTCTATATTGGAGTGCCTGCAAGTTTGATTTTGGTGATCTTCGTTACCCCATATCCTCCTCCTTTGGAGAAAGCCAGTGGTGGCCACACCACAGATGACAGGAAGAGAAGGAAGTTTTAGGGAAGAGATGGATCTTAGGGCAAGGGACCATACTCAAAACCTCCATGGGCTCAAAGGGATGGCTTAACAATCCAGATTATGCCTTTTTCCTGAGAATGAGGAAGGATTGATATCTGAGTCAGAATTCATCTTGTTAGGATTTAAATTTATTTATACTGAGAAAGTCAGAGGAAAATAGAACTCATACTGCAGTTAAGGAATACAACATATTGCTTATTTTTATATATAAATGCCTCAAAGGTTTTGGCAAGCAGTTTCATTCTGAAATAATCT